TCACTTCCCGGGAGAGTGTGATTTAGAGCGTCTTCTTTTTCTGCAATTTATCCTGCTATTTGTCGGAACGCATGAAAGTCATTCTCAGATCTGGGTTCTGGTACTCTCGAGTGTATTTCTCTAGTCCTGAGGACTAGAAACTATTTTTAATGAGGTATTGCAATCCTCCGTATGGGCCATACCCAGTTCTGGGGTACCGGTGCAGGAACATGATTATCAGAGGTACATCTTGGTGGGTGGATGAAATCTTAGGGATTCTGGGAAGACTTTCGCCACCAATCCCACCTCGTTTGGGGCTGCTACGGTCCCCGTCCACTGGACTCTGACATGCTCTTTCTCTCTACCCCCAGCCCTGAATGAGCCAACCATCGACTACGGATTCCAGCGCTTGCAGAAAGTGATCCCGCGACACCCCGGTGACCCCGAGCGCTTACCCAAGGTAAGGACATGTCTGATCTTTCATGATCCTGAGAACAGTAGTGACAAGCAGACTGTGAAAGGAAAGGTGGGAAGCAGTGTTCCCTCTAAGCGGAGTTGGTGTGAGCTAGCTCACAGTTTATTAGCTTCCAGCTCACACGTTTTTGTCTTGGCTCAGGAAGGATGGATCCAGAGCAAACTAATTTATGCAGGAGCCCAATCGCTCGCTCACAACTTTAATGCCACTAATAATAATAAAATACCTTTCGATTTACTGATCGTTCATCCTGCAGAGCTGCTGGCTCTGAGCAATTTACAGTTACACAAGCTTTCACACCGGACTAACAATGATTCGTAGGGTAAGGGAGGACAACATATAATTCTTTAAATCGCACACTTTTGCAGCCGACTGAGATTTTGTTCAGCTGTAAGCTTCAGGCGTGTTCCGAACGGCATTCACTTTCGGCTTGGCTGGATGACGTCAGTTCTTCCAGGACTACTTTGAGTTGTCGTGCCGCACTGCCACCGCCGGGCCGGATTGGCCCATCATAGACTTCTTAATGCCGAAGAGGTCTTTTATTGTATGCTTCCGAGCTTACGAGCTGGTCCTTCCATTTGCCGGCTAACACCTCCCCTACGGGGGTTTAGTGTGCCCACCCTTTCTAAGGAGTGGTACCCATTTTATCTACTCGCCGGAGCTTTCGAACTGCTGGGTGGACGGCGAGCTGGGGACAAGGCTGGTAGCTCACACCAGCGCGGGGCTAGAACTGACAGCAGCTCTGTTCTGTTCAGATGTTAACCAGAGGATAAATCCTCTGTGCCACCGCTCCCCACTAGCTCACAAAGCAGAATCTTTGCTCACAAGACTCCACAACTTAGAAGGAGCATTGGTGGGAAGGGATGAGCCAGTCCTTGGCTCTCATGGCCTTTCCTGTATACCCAGAGTAATGCTGATCGCCACTTTGGGGTCAGGAAGGAATTTTCCTCCAGGCCAGATTGGCCCACAGATCCTGGAGGTATTTTGTCTTCCTCTGGGCATAGAGCAGGGGTGTCCCTGGGGGAGCGGTGGGAGGAGGTAGCTGTGAATTTATTGCATTGCGCAGGGGGGGTTGGACTAGATGACCCTTGAGGCCCCTTCCAGCTCTGTGTTTCTGTGTTCCGTGTTCCAGCCATGCCTGCTTTGCAAGAGGTCATTTCTAACTCAGATCAGGTGAGGGTGGGGGGGGGGCAGGACAAAGCGTTCTTCAGCTTGGCCCGGTTAAAAAACGAAGCACCCCATTTTGTTTTGCTGCTGCCTTTCAAAACATATTTAAGAACGAGTCCAGGAAAAACACACATTCTCATTCCGGAAATGCTCAGAACATGTGTTACTGAAGGGAGAAAAACAAAGTGTGTTTTTTAAATTATAAACCAGATGGGCTGTAAGGACATCAGAAGAGCCCCGCTGGATCAGACCAGTGAGGGTCCGTCCAGTCCAGCCTCCTGTCTCACACAGGGGCCAGCCAGTTCCTCTGGAGGGCCAGCAACAGGGCAGAGGGGCTGAGGCCTTCCCCTGAGAAGAACATCAGGAGAGCCCTGCTGGATCAGACCAGTGAGGGTCCCTCTAGTCCAGCATCCTGTCTCACACAGGGGCCAGCCAGTTCCTCTGGAGGGCCAGCAACAGGGCAGAGAGGCCGAGGCCTTCCCCTGATAAGAACCTCAGAAGAGCCCTGCTGGGTCAGACCAGTGAGGGTCCATCCAGTCCAGCATCCT